TGCCTGTCCCCGCCCTTGAAGATTGGAGAAAGTATGGATCTTTTCCACTCCCTTGGCAGGGTCCCAGAATCTATTGAGTTTTGAAACAAGTCGCACAGGGGTCTACAGAGAGCCTCGGCTCACTGTTTCAGAACAGATGGCCTTATGTCATCACAACCAGCTAATGTGCGCGATGCAAGCACACTTCCAGTGTTCATCTCCTCAGTCACCAGACTGCTCAAAGATGACAATGCACTTATACGTCCGACTCTTACACCTTCTTTTTCACCCTACATAGATATTTTAAGTTCTTTAAACGTGTAGTTACAACAAACTACAATTATAAATTTTAATATTATTGGAACTAGATGATAAACATTTCTACACAGGACAGTGATATTTGTTCACACATAATATTAAAGTTAGCATAACGGGACTAGTTAGTTAGTGAACAAAAATAAGCATAGTTACTAGACAGAATATATATGTATATATTTATTAATCACTCCTTAAGTACTCCTCTTGCTTTCGTTTGCGTTGCTGTTGTTTGTCTTCTTTTTTCTCTCACCATTTAGCTTCCATTGGACTTTTTGAATGAGAATGAATAATGTGGATGTTTGACCATTTACAATGACAAATGATCTGCAAACATTATTGGTCCCATATCTTTCAGTTGCCTAGTTAATAACGAATTAACTTTCCCCACGACGCAACCCGGATTACATTTGTGGAATATACTCTTATACCAATGGAAAAGTATCAATTTGTAGTACAACGTCACGATTGTAACCTATAACATAACTGATCGTATCTGTAAAAATAGCTTTCTTATTGCCCGATTTAGATATAAATCAAAAATGAGATTCGGATTTGTACACACCTAAGTTATATTGTGGAATTACTTCAAGCATTATTTTTTGCAAAGTATTTTTAATCCATCCAAAACATACTTGGGTATTTTTGTTAATGCGAAGTCAATATTCCTATATTTCATGATGTGCTCCATTGAATGACTGGTCATCATATTGTTCCCACAAACCAAAGACAGAGACGTCAGCAACCATGTAATTTAACTATAAACCAAATTTATGAAATTTAAATAATGCTTATCCATGCCTGTACATTTGATGTGTCCTACACAGGTAGGAAAAAATGTGTATTTTATTAAAACATTAATAATAAGTATGATTGATAATCGTATATGTAATTTATCATATTGATGATGCCTGTAAACTAGGAATATACTATTATTATTATTAATGGCGATGTTTGGCATCCCAGATGGCCCTGGGGAGTTCAGGGGCTGTCTCTATTTATAGACTGCCTCGACCCACTCATCTTATGTCAATTAACACGCCACGTCTGTTAGCTGTCAAGTTCAGCTCCCAAGACCAGTTGACTACCGCTCTCCATAGATGGTACGAGACCAAGGACAAGGTCAGCAAACACATTCGCTGCTGCGAGAGCCGGCCTCGCACTCAAAGGAGAGAACAAAGCGTAGTTAAAAAAATCCTCAACCCCTAGTCACACTACAGCGGTGCAGCACGGACGATGATAGCCAGTGTCATCCGAGTGCTCCAACTGAACTAGAAGAAAAAAACGCCAACAGGCCGGTTCCTGGGGAATCGGCCAACTAGTTCGTAGGATAACTCCTCAACCGATAGCCAATATCAAGTCAACTACCCCCCAATACGGGGAAGTGGTGAGACTGACTACCAGTTGCCTGTACAGTAATGTGAGAGGGCTAAGAGGCAAAATAGCTGAACTTAGACACCTACAATCACAACTGAACTCCAAAATCATAATACTGACGGAAACCTGGCTAACCCCTACGGTGGCAGACAGCGAAGTCAGTATAAATGATATGGTCCTAGTCAGGCGAGATAGGGACCTGAAAGAAGGAGGTGGAGTCGCCATATACGTCGACAAACAGCTCAGATGTGTTCACGCGATGGACCCTCCCCTCACAGAGCTCCCTGACTCCATATGGTGCCACTTCACCGTTGGGTACTGCAAATATCTAGTGGGCAGCATTTATCGATCACCTTCATGTGGAGCAGACCACAACCAGGTACTGCTAAATACAATCTCAGCAACTCAAGACATGGGTTATGATCAAATTGTCATAGCTGGTGACTTCAATGCCCCATCTCTTAACTTGGTGTCGGGAAAAGCCCATGATAGATTTGATCGAAATCTGCTGCATACCATCAGGAAGGCTGGATTCACTGAAAATGTCAAGATGGATACTAGATGGGGCCCTGATGGGAAGTCTTCTAGACTGGATTACGTGCTCACTAGTGACCAGCTACTAGTGGAAAACGTTCAGATCACGACTCCCATAGGTAGTAGTGACCACGCGGTCATAGTATTCGACATAGTCCTCCGCGAGCGCTTACAGTGGGACAATACACAGCCCTATCTGTGTTATAACAAAGCCAACTACACCAAAATGCGAAGACTTCTGTCTGAAGCAAATTGGCCTAAAAAATGGACAGAGCTAACAGTAGAAGAACACTGGAGAGTGGTAAAGGAGATCATTCACCAGGCGGTCTCAGACACTGTTCCTTTAGTCACACCAAAAGCTAGGAAGCAACGATCATGGCTAAAAAAGGGGACACAACGCCTTCTGCAGGCGAAGCGAAAAGCCTGGTTTGCGTGGCGACGATCGAAGAGTCAACCCGAACATGAAGTGTACCTTGAACTCAGGAATCGATGTAACATACGAGTCCGGAGCGATAGAAGGACATTTCAGGGAGACCTCGCCAATAAGCTTCTCGTGAACCCCAAAAGCCTATACAGGTTTATGTCCGAAAGAAAACCGACCAACCAGGGAGCATGCAATCTAGTGGGTTCTGATGGGAAATCTCTTACTAGTCTTGAAATGGCAGAGACATTCAGCCTAGCCTTTCACAGGCAACTAAACAGTAACGAGGATATTACCCCACAGAACATCCAGATTACATCGCAAAACCAACACGCGAAAACCTGCTGGGTACATTTCAAATTACCCCGGCTATGGTACTTGCAAAATTGGGAAGGTTGGCTTCGGGAAAGTCTTCAGGTTGTGATGACATCAGACCATCTGTCCTGAAGCAGTGTTCAGAAAGTCTCTGCCAACCCCTAAGTGATCTGTTCCAACACTCCCTTGATGTAGGGAAACTTCCATGTGAATGGAAACGAGCAATCCTATCCCCTATCTTCAAGGGTGGTGACCGGCAGAATGTGACCAGTTACAGACCAGTTGCTCTACTTCCAGTGATATCGAAGATATTGGAAAGTCTCATTGACGACCACATGAGAAAATACTTCGATGGGACTAACCTTCTTCACGAAGCACAGCACGGTTTCAGGAGGGGAAGATCCTGCGTGACGAATCTTCTACTAGCTTGGAACGATTGGACACTATCCTGGGACAAAAAGGTACCAGCCCACGTGATCTTTCTCGACTTTGCGAAAGCATTCGACACAGTTCACCATGGTCTGCTCCTTCACAAAATAAGCAAGGCGAGTGTTTCTGGAGCACTTCTCGCATGGCTGAAAGATTACTTAGGCGAGAGAGAATTCTGCACCAAAGTCAACCGCATCCGATCATCCTGGCACACCTCGGCATCAGGGGTTCCTCAGGGTTCTATCCTAGGGCCGTTGATGTTTTTGATTTTTATCAACGACCTGCCCTCCCAACTAAACTGCTCTGCGCTTCTTTACGCTGACGACGTAAAGATTTGGAGAGCAATAAACTCATCGGAAGACTCAGATAGATTGCAGGCTGACCTGCAAACTCTGGGAAACTGGGCTCTGGCTAACGGAATGCCTTTCAACCTAAAGAAGTGCAAAGTAGTGCAACTTCATTCCGGCAGGTCACAGAGTGTAAATTACACCCTTGGTGGCCAGAACTTGAGTTGTGTTCCATCAGAGCGAGATCTAGGTCTTATTCTAACAGAAAAGCTAGACACCAGTGGAAATTACTCGAGGGACGTCGCCAAAGCCTACGCAACATTACACTTTATGCACAGGCAGCTGGGAGCTCTCACTCCCGAACTGTTCTTAAGGCTATACAAGGCATATGTGAGGCCACACCTTGAGGTGCATAATATCATTGCACCTCCGCTACTCAAAAGGGATGCTAACATTCTAGAAAGTGTCCAGAGACGAGCGACAAAATGGGTGATCGGCCTCCGCAACAAATCATATGAGGAAAGACTAAAGAAATTAGGTCTTTTCACACTTAGTTACCGTAGGCACAGGGGAGACCTCATCACCGTCTACAAGATCCTAAATGACCAGGCCCACCCAAATAAAAGCATCCTGCCATTAAGTGATTATAGGCTTCCACGAGGTAACCCGCTAAGGATAGCACACCAGAGACCAAAGACTCGAGTGCGATCACATTTCTTTTCGCTTCGTGTTTGCCGTCTCTGGAACGCTTTACCGGCGGCCGTGACTACAGCGCCATCTCTGGAGATTTTTAAGCGGAAGCTAGACAATCATGCAGAAATGCAAGGTTTGTGTCTCAATGGCTTATCCTCATAAAACTTGAAACCACACTGTCAATGGATAAGCGTACAAACTAAATCCCCACGACCTATTCTGCCTTCTCTCACTCTATCTTTTCCTTAGGTCACCTTTATTATTCCACTTATCTCAACCTATATTATCTACACTACAACCTATTTTTATTATTATTACTATTCTGCTTTTATGACTACACCGAATGACCAACGGGAGTTAGGTCAAACTCCATTCACGGCAGCAATACAGTCCTAACATACTGCATACTACAAACCACATCTCGACCAATCCCCGCACCACTCCTCCTGGAGTCTACCAGAGCTAAAGCAGTCGAGTGGCGGGACTTACTACGCAGAAGCTCACCGAAGATCTGGAACCTCTACCTCACAATCAAGAAGCGAGCTCAAAGAAATCACTGGTTTATACTAGCTCGTAATCAGGATATTGGATATTGGATAAGGTCGCTCAAGGTTACCCGTTCAATTGAACCACGTTTTTCTGTGGCTTGCATGATTCCTGTCCATGAGGAAGAAAGACTAAAAGCGAGCAACAAGAGATTGTGGTCTGTCAGCTGGAACTACAAAGGGTCATTATTAGCTTCATGTGGAGAAGACAGAATAATTAGACTGTGGGTTAAAAGTCAAGACAATTTGTGGGGACCATCTTTCTCGCTTCCTGAAGCCCACAAAAGGTCTATCAGATGTATAACGTGGTCACCTTGTGGTTCCTATGTAGCTTCTGCAAGTTTTGATGGTTCGGTTGCAATTTGGAAGATACCTAAGGATGTTTCAGAATTGGAAATGGAGGCATTGGTGACTTTAGAAGGTATGTTTATGTCGAGTTGGTTTGAAATGCTCATTTAATAACGGCCCAACAGCTATCATGTGATTTTCCAAATGATGTCTCGTTTAACACTATTATTACTCCGGATTTTTATAAAGAAATTACTATTGACTGAATTGGGTCGTTAAATATTAATAATCCTGTATGTTAGTGTAGTCATAGTTATAAGACTATTTGAAAATGAAAATGGTACTTCCTTCCTAATTAAGAAACCTTGTCGTCATGGTGATTGGCGTCACCATGCAACCGTATGTAGTATAGAAGGAAAATGGAGAAAGAAGAGATTTGTCAGTCAAAGACGTAAACTATTAGCAACAACAAACCTGGACTTCTTCACTTTCGCAATAATTTGTTAGAGGAAAGTTAGCTTTTGTGGCGTATTATGGGCAGTAAAGTATTTCACCGGGGTCATAAATGCAGGTATTAGTAAAACCCACCTGCATCTTTATACTTGTACATGAAATGACTGATTTCGAGGCAGACTGGGTCATCTAGAGAACAGGTAAACATCAAAAACTTCTAGATAATTACTTTACTTTAGTGACGAAATCTTCTCTGAGGTCACTCCCTTCAAAAACATAAACTTATTGGCAATTCATTACCATTTATTGACTAGCTTAAAGGGAACTTCCAAATCAATGTGTAGAAATCACAAATGGTACCTACCAGGTAAAATGTGAAGACGGTTATTTGTCCATGTTTCCAGGTGACGATGGTATCACGCGGCGAACTAGTAGATGTTGGAGATCAGAAGCCATCGAATTCCTATCCACTATTTGGATAGGAACTTTGGTGTAGGAATCATATCTCACATATCATGACTTCGCGCCCCTGAAGATTCTCAAAGTTGATGGAGACGACTGTGCTGTGCTCCTTGGTCTGTGTTCCCCAAATGCTCAATGCTTTAAAACCGCATGTTTTTGACATTTTCATCCAGTGGGAATGTATCTTTTGCTTTACTTGCTTCAGATGGTAAGAAACATCCATAAACACACGTCCAATATATCTACAAAATGACACATTTTTCAAGTATTATTGAATGTTTATGCACACTTACGACTAGCTAACTGTCTGCTCTAACACAGTTATTGGTCTTTTGGATAATATTTTGATTTCTCTTACAAAAGCCACTCTATCCTAAAGTAACTTATAGATCATGTGTAGACTAGATAAAGCCTTGTGAACAGTGATGACAGAAAAGAGGGTTGAATGGAGATTTGCGGTCAAGCCATATATTCCGCTGAGAAAGTAAAGAATGGATACTACTGTTAATAATAATAGCCATTATGCAATCATACCGTTAATTTTCTGTCCGAGAAGACATGTGGGCTTGTCTTGTCCTTGTTGAGAATCCAGGATAATTTTAAGAATCATTCTTTTGAACTTGCGAAATTTCGGTATTTTGTTTATTCTCTTTTGCTTTGTTAGAAAACATTCAGTACTCATAGTTATAAGGATGATGGTTGTTTGAAAAATATAATATTGCCAAAACGTACATGCCGCCATAAGGAAAGTTGTCTTCCATCCCATTCACTGTTTTGCAGATACGTGTAATTTACCATCGTATGGTCGAATGTCTAGGGCATTATGGCTTCCAGAATGACGACTATAATCTTAAAACTAATTTTTGTAGATTGGGTAGCGTATAAGCCAGGCACTTTATGTGCACGGATACATATATATATATATATATATATATATATATATATATATATATATAATGCCTAGGTAGTAGGAGTGTAAGTCCTATATTTCGTAGTATATATTCCGTTTTATTTCTTTTTCTGACCGGCGTCCATATTTAAGATTCTCACGTTAACACGTTGTGTCCCTCCGAACTGGAGGAATGTATGTATAGTATTTATTGTATACCAGAATTTAAATTTATTCACTGAAAACTAAAACGGACTATCTGTATGCTTGATTGTTAAACACATTTTCATGATATTACTTTGATAAATTTAGTTGACTAAGCCTAATATATGAAAATGTTTATGTTTGTGATAGTGAGTCTTTCATCATTAATTTCTCCTTCTAAATATTAGGACATACGAGCGAGGTTAAATGCGTTGCTTGGTCCCCTTCTGGTCATCTTATAGCCACCTGTGGTCGAGATAAAAGTGTATGGCTGTGGGAATTTGATGATGAAGAAGATGTGCAGTGTGTTAGTGTACTACAACCCCATTCTCAAGATATAAAATCAGTAGCGTGGCATCCGCATGGTGAGGTAGGTTTGGAGGGGGTAACGGTGGTACTGCTTTACACAATCATTTCTGTGCTCTTTCTGTGCCAGGTATATATATATATATATATATATATATATATATATATATATATATAGTTTCAATTGAACTGTAAATGTTATTACTCCACGCAACATAATAAGTGTTGCTGCATTTCTTAATGTTAATTTTCCTCATATATAGCCGTTTATTCAGTCTGTAAATCAGAAACCATCAAAATGAATGAACAAAGACAATTAGGTGCAAAGATGGGCAAAGATTTAGTCTGAATTTTGCTCGTTTGTTGGAACTCAGGTCTCGGAACAGGTCTTTCATTTTCCGGTTATAAGCCACACTTGTGTGAGAAATGTCAATACTACCTAGTCACTAAGGAGGAGTGGGATGCGTACCCGAGACCCACTGACTCAAAGCCAAATGGCAGTGATCAGCATCTCCACATTTAGTTCAAATGCTAAATATTAAACCACCGCAAAAGATGAGGTATAATCTTATTTCCTTAGTTATTTTATTCCCTCAAGATGTAGGTGATATACTGTAAGAGCAACACGTGGTGAAATCGGTTTGTTCATTTTATGGTTCACTGCACTATAATGTTAAACTGAGCATTTGTATACTCTGCGATATTTCCGGATTAAATACCTGGAATATTTCGCCTCCCTAATTGATTTTCATGGCTTACGCTTACATACTCGTGGTTACTACTGTAGCTGTAAGAACTAATTCTCGAGTTTTAGAAATCTGCTCGCCATATCTTTAATCTTGAGGGAAATTCATTGTTGCCTATTTAAGCGAATTCAACAAGTAGCCTGGTCGTCATTTTTATAAAACATTCGAAAAATAAGATGGCAAATAACTTAGTTCTTAAACTGTTCTGTCCCAGATTTGATTGGAAAGGTTTTAGTAAGTTTTACTATACAATGTAAACTTATGATGTTGCCAAAAGTCATAAACCATGATAACTGAGATATATCAATAGAAGTAATTTAAATATGGTATGGTGGTAGTTGAAGTTGGTTTGTAGCAGGTTTCCAGTCACCAGACTGAAGGTATAATTTAGCCCTCAGTTCACAAGGAAGCTTTAGAGCATACACACTAAGCATATAACTTTGCTGTAATTATCAAACAAATAAATTTTATGTGTTCGTTCAACCCCAGTTAGTTGAATCGTAGTGGTCAGTCTGACATTTGGAAAAAGTCTTACCGAACTGAGGTATTGTACATTGGATCACTGAATTCTTATCAAGGTAGCTTTGACTGGTAGTTTATTGCCATGGAAGATTGATGTGTTATCACTTTCAAAAAGTCTAACTTTTTTAGTGGGACATCTCAGCGGAAAATCATATTGACCGTTATGTGAGATTGATATTTTTGTGTGACTAGTTCTTATTACTTTAATGATGAACCCACAAATAATCAAGTGCTTTGAAAAAGTTCATGTCTTTCCATACCACTCTTATGTACGAACTGTTAAAAGTAGTCTAAGGGTTTGTGTAATTGCTGCTGGAGGTGTGACAAATGAAATGTTTAGTGGTATATGAGAGCCAAAATCATAAATATGAATTTTACATAATTTCTCGTCCTTCTGTGATATCACGTCAAGCCTATAGTTCTTTGGTGCATGCTATTCTGTGGGACTTGGCTTTCAGTTATTGCCTGTGTCCACTGGCCACAATGCATAAGTAATGCCGATGTTTAATAGCGAGTATTGTGGTAATGTAGAGATTGTTTTTCAATAAGTGATCTCATTTCGAGATATAATCTGTAATAGTATGTACATCTGCTGTAAATGTCGTCCCCGCAGCTATCTAGTATTTTCTGCCCCTGGGACTAGTTGGAAAGAGGATTGTCGGATGAAGGATACCTGAGTTGGTGCTTCACAACTTTTGGATGTTCCTAAGATGATCTGACCCAGCAGTACAAATTATGAAGTGACTCAGAAGTGAAGTCAGTGGTGATAGTGGTTTACGGTTTCCTTGTTTGTTCTGTTATTGGAAGTGCTATAAAGTTTTCTTTCTCAATGGTGTTGTCGTATTGATCACTGTGGTACGTTTCTTGATACCAATGCTACTAATTTTGAATGATAGTTCTACAAAATCACTAACGTAGTGAAGGTGTGACCCATTGGTCTAGCTGCTCGACTTCGAATCAGTGGGTCACAGGTTCCAACTTCGCTGTACCTACCAAGATTTGCGTAGTCAGGTAGTATCACACTAGCTTAATGTCAACAGTATGGAATTGAAAATGGTTGTTGGATAACATTTTATTTTATTTTTCATTCAAGGTCATTAGCTTGTATTCGTTCTTTATTATCTTTGTTTGCAATATCTTATTTCATTCAGGTTTTAGTCTCTACAAGTTACGATAACAAAATAAATGTTTACAGAGAAGAAATTGATGATTGGACTGTTTTTGTACAGTTGAGTAAGCAATAATCACCAGGATTTTCGGAGTATCTTTTGTATATATTTACATGTTTATATATATATATTTCTATATACACATATATATATATATATCCATAAGATTCTTAAAGTACTTTATAATGTGGTGAACCCCTCAAAATACCAGTAAGTATTTATTTTAGAAAACTTATTAATGTTTCATTTCGATTTATGAATAATAATATAATTTTAGTTGGTTTGAGGCAGTCGACAGGACGCCTGAGGTCCAAATTTCTCGCTTCCTCGCCCTCATCAACAAGGCGTATTTTCAACCTTCAAGGCACCGACTTATTTTCCGAGATTCAGACTCGTGTCACTCCCTAGTGGCTACTGAATGTATGCTGATGTAATACAATAAGAGACAGTATATGCATAGCTTTATTTGAATCTTTCTGTAAATGTGTAATTAAATTTGAACCAATAACTTTTTATTCACCGCTTTTATGATGCACCGACCAGTGTTTAATATTCAATTGCTAGTCAGAACTATAATGCAGAAGGTTTGTAAATCATGTGGATATCTTTTGTGTGAAAGTATTCTCTGTTCTAACTGGTTTAATTACGAAGCTTTCATTATCCTTCCAGGTAACTTCCTCAGTCCTAACTTTAATGAATAAAAACACTAGTCGAAAGAACCAAGATATGTTGCAGTACCCTATTCCTAATTATTATTATTATTATTATATCCCATAATTCCTAGAGGAACATAGGGCTTCAGCTGTGCATCTCCATTGCCTTCGGTTTTCTGTCAAATTTTTCACCCGCTCTAAGTCTGTCTACACGCTTTCATCTCCTCCTCACATGACCTCCTCTAAGTCACCCTTGGACGACCAACTCGCCGCTTCCCTTTCGGGTTCCACTCGAGCGATGGCTTGTCTAGTGATGTCACTTGATGGTTTCCTCAGCGTATGGCCAATCCATCTCCATTTCTTCCTGCCTATTTATTACACAATCGGTTCCTTCTGGGTTGGTTCGCTCATTGCCAGAGATCCCTGTTGGTGATCTTTTCTGGCCATCTCATCTTGAGTCTGTCTGTCTGTCTGGATTCAACATAGAACTTGGCACCGAAGTGCAGCAGTTCGAGTTGCCACCTTCCAAATAGCACACAGAGGTAGACAAGAAGATGAGTGAAGAGAATCAATACAGTCTGACAAGTATAAGAGTGAAACAGAATGGGTAATGGTAGAAAGGAATATGAAAGATTACAGAGACTGAATACATCTGCGCTGGTCATTGACAACGATTTTGAGCCATGTCACCTATTGTCTCCAGCCATTGATTCCTAGAGTCCCGAGGGCCCCAACCCGGGAGTCTGCATCTCCCTACCTGACCGACTCAGTTTAACTGTCGAGGATTTCATGGATTGATGAGGCCATGTTTTTGTTTGGCCACCACTGGCTCTTTTCCAACCTGCACCTAAATCAGCTAGTAATGCCCGTCGGGGGAGGCGGTGGTTAGGCATGCGCAGCACGTGACCTAGCCATCTTAGTCTATGTAACTTTATAGCCTCGTCGATTGATTTTCCCTCTTTGCCCAACACTCTACGCCTAACGTCAACATTACTTACCTTATTAAACCACCTAACGTGAGACAGAGATCGCAGACATCTATGATCGAAAGCAGTCAACCTTTTCATGTCTTCAACTCGTATTGGCCATGTTTCAGAGCCATAGAGAAGGATGGAGCGAACTGCTGAGAAGTACACAAGTCCCTTGGTTGATAACCGGATGTCACGCCTTAGCCCGAGATAGTGTAAATCATCGAATGCAGGTCGAGCTTTTTTAGATCCATGCTGATATTTCGTCGGCAATCAGTCCGTTGTTGCTGATACAACTTCCCGAATAGGTGAAGTGGTCAACATGTTCTATCACTTCACTCCCTATCACTATGTTAGGGATTGACGTGGTCCAGTCCTGTAGCAGCATCTTACATTTTGCAACAGGGGCGAATCGCATGCCAAACATACGAAGATTGCTGCTCAAGGTGTTCAGAAGACTCTGCTGGATTTTGTCACCATCCTCCCCTAACAGGACTATGTCATCTGCATATTCTAAGTCCATTAGATTATTCCCTGGTAACAAGTCGATTCCTAAGTCGTTACGTTCAGTTAAGGATACTTCCACCAGCATATCTATGATGAAGTTAAAGAGAAATGGGGAAAGTGGACATCCCTGTCGGAAACCACTGGTTGTTACCAATTCAGATGACAATTCCCCATAAGCCCTTACACAACTACGTGAGTTTGAATAGAGTGCCTTGATTAGTGCAATGTACTTTCTTGGCACTCCCTTCACAGTCAGACATTGCCATAGTACCTTTCGATCCAAGGAGCGGAGTCGAAGGCCGCCTTCAAGTCAAGAAATATGACAATTGTTGGACGCCGAAAAGTGTGTCTATGTTCTAGAATCTGTCGAAGAGTGAAGATATGATCTATGCACCCTCTACCTGGTCTGAAGCCTGCTTGATTTTCCCTTGTCTGTTCCTCCCGAGTTCTACTTAGTCTATGCATGATTACTGAGCCTAGGATTTTAGAGACTATGTTCGTTAGGCTGATCCCCCTATGATTATCACACGAGGACTTGTTTCCCTTCTTGAATATCGGCATAATAAGTGACTTACCCCAGTCTGATGGTACTGTCTCTGATTCCCAGACTTTGCCTAGTAACTCAGTTAATCTACAAACTAGTATGTCACCCCCATATTTAAAAACCTCCGGAATAATTCCGTCGGGTCCTGCCGCTTTGCCTCGTTTCAAATTACTGATAGCTTTTGTGACCTCACTTACAGACGGCGGACCAGTGTCTATATCCCATTCGGGTGTGGGGTGGATGTCGGGGAGGTTCAGTGTGGCTGTAGGCAAGTTAAATTGTCTCTCAAAGTGTTCTTTCCAGCGTTCAAGGCGTCTATCCTGAGAGCTAATTAAGGAGCCATTTTTCTCAGAAATAGTGCAGCGTATTGTAATTTGTATTCAAATCCTGTTTTTGTTGCTCGTCGGTGCACTGGATAATCTTTTGTTTCACTATCATTCTCTCTTCTATTAGTCTACAAGTGTGCGTAGTGAGCCACTGTTTGTCTGGCCTCTTCTTTCTTCCTAGAACTTCCATGCAGGTTTGACTCCACACCGTTTTCAAGTTGTGCCAGTGCTCTTCGACGCGGACCTCTTCGCTAGTGTTGATTTGTGTCCCGGCTTTGTCCCTTATGCTTGCAATGAAGATGTCCTTTGTATCTTGGTCCTTCAGTTTTTGAGTGTTGAACTTGGCTTGTGGTTTATCTGTAGCTCCTGTTTCCCTGAAAGCTTTTAATTTGATTTGGATTGTCCCTTGTACGAGATAGTGGTCTGAGCCAACGTCTGCTCCTCTTCTTTTGTGTCCAGTAGGCTGCGCCTCCACTTCCTTGAGATTGAGATGAAGTCAATTTGGTTTTTGGTTTGCCCATCTGGTGACACCCATGTAGCCTTGTGGATATCTTTGTGCTTGTATACACTGCCACCAGTCACTAGTTCTTTGAAGGCTCAGAAGTTGGCGAAGAGTTCTCCATTTTCATTCATTTCTCCGAGAACTTCTCTACCCATGATGAGTTCTCTTCCAGTGTTGTCTGGTCCCAGTTTGGCGTTCATGTCTCCCACTAGTATTTTCATGTCACCAGCTGGCGTATTGTCTATTGCTGCCTGTAGTTGTCTGTAGAATTCTTCTTTCTTTGCGAGGTCTGCGTTGTTTGTGGATGCATAACATTGTATAATTGACACTTTCCTTCCTTTGGAGTTGAATCTGGCGGACGGGAACGAAATATTTTGAAATCACTTCTAGTAAGGAAGACAAGATCAACTATAAAGTAAATTGTACCAGCTGTAGCCAAAGCGAATGCCGTTTTCGACCTCATATCTAAGACCATTTCTAGCTGTCAGAAGACACGATGTTCACATTTTCTTGTTGACAAATGTGGAAAAGTAGAGACGCCAACGTGAATAGGAAATTACGAAGATTCTAAATTGCAAAAATACTAGAAACATCAGAAAATTCGTAGATCAATTTTCACTCAACATACTTGTTGACGTAGGTTAGATTCATCCATGGAAAACAATACACTTAGCGAAAAGCCTGAATACTAGATCAGTGAAACAATCAATACCATTACATATCATCACAAGAAGAAGAAAACGTCTGGGAGCGCTCGATCACAGGAGGGGTAGTTATGTCACTCAATTCACACTGGTGTTAGCACTGAAGATGTCGTCTTGAAGGACAATGAAAGCTTCACAGTCAAAACACTCAACCCCGAGATAAAACTACGCAAAAAATATTCATAACTCTATTTTATTTCTATTTTTAAGTGTTCTGTGATTATAAAACACTTAATTATCCGTAATTTAAGGCAGAGAGCATTATATCGATTCTCATTATCCAAAGTTGAGTATATCCACATACAAAATCCAGTTTATTCGCTGCAGTGTCAGATTATTCAGTTATAATGGGTTGATTGACTTGTGTGACAGGGAGGAGGAGTGTTTATTAAGTTAGGGAGGAAACTTTACCCGTGATCAAGTTAGAAGCAGGATATTTTGATCGACGGAGTATGTGTCTGATAGAGAATCGTTTAGTAACTTTTTTGTAATGATGTGTACTGATATGAGTAGCATATCACTGTATATTTATCTAAAATTATTTACATTTGACCTGTAGGGGTATCTTGAAGCTAAAGAGGTTTCAAAATGTTGCCTTTGACTGGGATCATCTATTACTAATCATGCCCGTATCGGAGATCTAGGCTGGTAGCTCCTTTTAGCATCAAGACGATTCACTTTCTACTCACGGAGGTTACTTTGTCGTATTGATTAGATCTAGATCACACAGGGACTGTTGGTCCAGTAGTTTAAAATGATACCATTCTTTCTTTTACCCACTAGGGAATTCATATCAACTGTAAATAGTGGGTTATGTTGCTAAACTTTTATAACTTCAGATCTGTACGCAGTTACCCCAGATGTTAAATTATTCGTAACTGCTGTAAAGATATTTTGCAGGGTATTTTCTTATGCAAAAAAGCTTGGATAGGAGGAATTTCCCACCTGATAATATTCTTGTAGAATTTCATAAGTTACACTAGAGCTTTTAATGAAGTTGCATAAACCTGGATTGCATTTTTCATGCTAGCCTACCGTGATTATAATATTTGAGGAAATTTATGTGTGTACTCGTAAGTAGTATGATGTGCATAGAAAATATTTCTTCATGATTACTTGTTATCGAGGTGGTATACCGTCTTATGGGGTGATATGTGATGGAGTAGAGTTGAGGATATGATTCTGAATATGCCTTTGAGTGTGCTTTTTCTTTTTATTGTTAATCAACCCTTGCACATCTTCATTGTACTCTTATAAAAATTATATTTGTAAAATCTCAGAAATTGGAATGAGTAATTCCAACGTTTCCAACTTCTTCAGGGAAATTAATCGAAATGAAAATAACAAAGGTTTATATAGAAAAAGGACATCTCTTGTTTTAAAAAAGACTTTTTCTGGTTATATGAGTCATGAAACAGGCATCAAAATATAATAAACAAAATTGCATGAACTGTGATCGAAATTTGACCTCAGACTTACTAATATTAGTCTACTTTTGTTACACAATGGTGTGTGTGTGTGCATACTGTATGCGACAACAATTGTAAATGATTTGTTAGCCTCTCCGTAAGAATCGGGCATTTAGATGAAGTATGATTGATTAGTGATACATATCAATTTTTATTTATCAGGACTTGCCATGCATTGGCTGACGTCACACCTTCAGGTCTGTTCAGACTTTGGGGATTCACCCATATATGTAGGGCTTCCGCAGTCAATCTTTCTTTATACGAACTAACACGTTTCTGTAGAACCTCGGTCGTATCAAAGTCGATCTTGTGTTTCTTTTCTATCGAGTGCAGCGGAGCGTACTCTGTTCTCTGATATCACTTTCATCTGTCTCCACGCCTTCCAACAGGGTTTTATTTTATTTCCTCTTCATATAATTCTCCACAAGTCACTCTAAGGTGTTCTGTTAGTCGCTCTCCTCTCCAGTTCCACTTAACGGTCTGTCGTGTGATGTCACTTACAGGTCTCCTAAGCATGTGTTCAATTCATTTCCATTTCCTTCTGCATATGTTTTGGACAGCAAGTTGTTGTCTAGCTTAGTGCTTGCCGTAGCTCCTTCTTGCTTCTGAAATATGTCTGACCATCTGCTCTTTGTTACTGAGGGAACACAATTGTCAATGAAAGTCTGCAAGTAGCCTGATAGAAATGATTTCAGTGACGCGCATGCGAGTTCTTTGAACCATATAGGAGCACTGACTTGAAATTTATGTTGAAAATTCGTATCTTGTTCCTTGTACGAGATGCTGTAGATATCCCTGTATATTTTAGAGTAATGAAAAACCGTGTTACCTTCCCGATATGCTTCTAGCTGACTTTTACAGTCTTATGCGTACCGCCTGTAGTTGGTATTATGCTGCCGAGGAGGGTTGAAGAGATGACTTCTTTTCAATTTCTCCCATCGGTCGTGACAGGTGGTTTTTGTTAGTCAGGTATCTTCATAGCCACTGTCTTGTTCATGTTCATTTGAAGTTCAGCTTTTGCAGTCTCTTCCACCAAGTTGTTGGTTTTCACCTATGAATTTCTGAGCTCGCGTGACGGAAGACATGAATCACCCGTGAAATCCAAGTTTTCAGAGGTCTTTCTGCGTGCGCGTTTCCTTATTCGCCATAAACCACCACATGATCCACTCTGTCAGAATCAGAAAGATCATTTCAGATGCTGTGATGAGCTTCCTGTTGCGAGTTACCTATCATGTGGTATCATCACTCTAACCCCATGAGCTTCACTTTTTTCGTGGTTGTGAATCGGCTAGCAAACTAGGTAATGTTTCGCGTGTTAAATAGCTCAAAAATATATTCTACTTTTTCCGTCTGCAAAAATAAATTCAGGGAGTTGCTGAGTTTCTGGAGAATCTTCTTTCGTTTTCAAATGTGTAGAATTTATCCATTCATCCTGTCTAGTGAATCATGGAGTGAAAGTAATGTACTCAGTTAACATCTGTAACAGTGACCCAACAAATACACAGAAAGAAAGGAAAATGGACTGAACATACGCTGAGGAGATTTATAAGTGACATCATACATCAGACCATCAAGTAAAAGCCAAATAGAAAACGCCGAGTTGGGTGTCCAAGGATGATATGGAAAAAAACATGTGGAGAGGAAGTGAAACCAGGGAGTGATTGAACCAAACGGAAGGGATGATAAAGGATGGAGTGCCATAGATATGTGCCAATGACTTCCTATCTTCTATTCAAAACTCAAGGAACAATTGATAGAAAGCTTTTAAGCTCCTGATAGTCTGAAGAATAAGAGGAACTCATACACAGTACACCAGTGTTCGGATAAATGTATTCCGATTATATTTTATATACATTAGAGTAACATGTAGATAACTGATATGGATTGTTTAGCACACAGTTAACATTCTTTTCTTTTGTGTTTGTGATTTTCTCTTTTTAGCTGGACACAGTTCAACTGTATGGAAAGCAGAGTTTTCACCATCAGGAGATATTCTGGCGAGTTGTAGTGATGATCGATGTGTCAAACTTTGGTCATGGGATGGTAAGCTTCCTGGTATCTTTATTTAGCTTTTGAGTTTTTGCGCTGATGTATTTAATTCCAAGTTGTCTGTCTGTCTGTCTGTTTTCGACATAGAACTTTGCACAAATGTGCGGAAGTTCAAGTCGCCACATTCCGTGTAGCACGCGAAGCAAGAGAAGAAAGTACAAGAAAAGCATAATAGAAACAGTGAGCAGAGGTGTGAGACAAAGGAGTAATGAAGAAATACAAAACAGTTTCATTGAAGATCATAAGTCACAGGGAGTGGATGCATCTGCGCCACTGAGAACGGTTTTGAGCCATGTCACCAATTGTTTCCAACCATAGATTTTTACCGTCCCGAGGACCCCAGCCTGGAAGTCTACACCTTTCTACGTGGCTTAGACCAACTGTTAAGGATTTCATTGACTGATGCCATGTTTTTGTTTGACCGCCGCTAGCTTTTTTCCAGCCTGACCCTATATCCGCTAACATTGCTCGTCGAGGGAGGCGATGGCTTGGCATACGTAACACATGTCCTAACCATCTCAGTCTTTGTAGCTTCACGACTTCGTCGATTGATTTCCCCTGTTTACCTAGAACTCTACGCCTAACCTCCATGTTGCTCACCTTATTATGCCACTTTACACGGGAAATAGAACGCAGGCACCTATGATCAAAGACACCTAGTCTTTTCATGTCTTCCACTCTCAGTGACCAGGTCTCACAACCATAAAGGAGGACGGAGCGGACTGATGAGCAGTACACCCGCCCTTTGGTCGATAGTCGAACATCTCGTCTACGCCAGAGTCGGCGTAAACTAACAAATGCGAAACGAGCCCCTTGTATTCGTGCTGAGATTTCGTCAGAGATCAGCCCGTTGGGGCTGATGGTACTTCCCAAATAAGTGAATAAATCAACTGAGACTAGATAAATATTGAAAACCAGGAAAGAAGCTAGACAACTGCTTCAGACAAATTTGCGATACCGTAGCAATGTACATTCATACATATAACGCAGAGCTGTTGGATTACACAACAAGCACGTTTCAGTTCATCTGATAAGCTAAAATCAGTCCATTGGCCAATACGTGAATTCTGACTGTTGTTAATTTGAGACACTGATGAATATCTACCATTACACACATACACACGCTCTTAAATTACACTAAGCTGATGGAATACAGAAAATGTTATTATTGCAGTCAGAATTGGGAAAGTAATCGGTGTGGAGATCCATATCACTCAGCACAACCAACAAGATCTGAATTTTTAACAATGACCCCAAGTTAGTCACTGCTTCTGTACCGTTCAGAGACTTGGTATGTGCATCACCAAAAGCATTTCCCATAAGCTACTGCAGACTTTCATCAAAATCTGCCTTCTTTCAACACTGAAGATCAGATAGCCTGCGAGAAGAGATAAGCGAACAACAACGGAGTTTTTCAGGCGTAAACCAACCAGCAACCTATTGGTAAACATATATGGCATAGCAGAAATGGATATGGTTTGAGAATATGCTGAGGTGACTTTCAAGTGACTAACACAACAGATCCTCGAATGGAAGATGATGAGTTAGGAGTCTATGGTTGACAGGGTAAAGGTCATTTGAGGGAGAAATGAAAGCGTACGGGGTAGTTGTTGAGCCGATTGAAGGTCATGCTGGCGAAATATGAATCTGTTGTGTAGGTCCAGAAAGGAACAACCGAATAAATAATAATTATTATTTATTATTATTATTTACTGGAGAAGGTGTGGAAAGAGGGCGAAGTACCTGAGGATTGGGAGAAAGGATATTTATTCAAACTACCAAAGAAAGGAGACTTAAGTCAATGCAAAAACTGGCGCGGAATTATGCTCCTGTCCATTCCAAGCAAAATACTAAGCCGCATCATCCTGGAGAGAATCAAACACGCCAACCTGGATGAAAAATTCGACCGGAACAAGCTGGATTCAGGAGAAACAAGTCATGTATTGATCAAATCGCCACTCTACGGATCATCATTGAACAAAGCTTGGAATGGCAGCCACCTCTCTATCTCAACTTCATCGACTTTGAAAAGGCCTTCGACAGCGTCGATCGAGAGGTAATTTGGCAATTACTTCGCTACTACTAAGGGGTGCCATCGACAATTATACATCTCATCCAACAGTTATAAGACAATGCTGCATGCCAAGTAATCCACAACGGGAAACTTACGGAAGCCTTCGAAGTGAGGACGGGAGTGAGGCAAGGCTGTCTACTATCAACAATGATCTTCCTGATTGCAGAAGACGCATCAAAGATAGGACTTCAGGTGAACATAGATAAAACAGAGGTGATGAAGATTCTTGGTCAACACCAACAGCAACAACAACAGACGACAGTCAGCATAAATGGGAGGAACCTGAAAGAAACAACCTCCTTCACCTACCTAGGAAGCATCGTTTCAACTACAGGCGGACGGAACTGACGAGGATATCAAAGCCAGAATCGGAAAAGCAAGACAAGCTTTCATTACTCTTAAGTCTGTGTGGAGGTCAACAGCACTCAGCCTCAAAAATAAGATCCGGATTTTCAACTCCAATGTGAAGTCAGTGCTACTTACTATACGGATCAGAGACTTGGTGCGTCATGAAAGGCACTTCGAACTAACTACAAACCTTCATTAACAGTTGTCTTCGCTCAATACTCAAGATCAGATGGCCAGAAAAGATCACCAACAGGGATCTCTGGCAATGAGCGAACCAACCCAGAAGGAACCGATTGTGTAATAAATAGGCAGGAAGAAATGGAGATGGATTGGCCATACGCTGAGGAAACCATCAAGTGACATCACTAGACAAGCCATCGCTCGAGTGGAACCCGAAAGGGAAGCGGCGAGTTGGTCGTCCAAGGGTGACTTAGAGGAGGTCATGTGAGGAGGAGATGAAAGCGTGTAGACAGACTTGGAGCGGGGTGAAAAATTTGACAGAAAACCGAAGGCAATGGAGATGCACAGCTGAAGCCCTATGTTCCTCTAGGAATTATGGGATATAATAATAATGATAATAATAATAATAATATGATTATATACAATATTTGCGTGCCCTTCTTACAGATGCCTGCAGATCTGACATAATTCTTTAATGTATCGAACTACCAAGGACTTAAGCTGTTTAGCGTAACAAGAAAATTGAGTGTTTTTGAAAATGTTTCATCACAGTAATCTGGGGTGTCATTTTATAGAAGTGTGACTAGCAGTGCTAAGGAAAGTTATAAGTGGAAGAGTGATTATGAAATGCAAATATAGCCAATGTGTAAGACAGTACAATTTTGAATCGTGGGAGACGGTAAATTGCTTGATGTGAAATAAAGTAGGGATAACAGTGTAGAAGATAAAACTGGTTTTTATTACTCAACGGGTTTTGAGAAGGGAATACTTCTTTCCAATTGTGATGCAGATAAAATTAAATTTAGAGAGAGTTAGATAGAAATAATAAAGTGTTAGTAAAACTATCCCAAAATTGGTACAATGATAATATACAAGACCAGTTGTATTTCTTTTTCACGTGGTTTGTTATAATTCTGGCTGTTTTTTGTTTTTATTCACTTTAAATGTTTTCTGTGTTTTACCACATATAATCAAATTAGTGCTAATAGAAAAATAATTTTGTTGTTTGTTTGTTTGCTTTTAAAGTTTCAATAAACACAGACAGGTATTTTGTTTCAGTACAACACAGTCATTGAGTATGCACTTCCTGGCAGCAACATATTTTCTAAACACATTCATTATACACTAGGCTAGTTTTATCCACATACTGTATAAGGGGGTGAACGGCTGATACAATGTAAATAATTTGGTTTGGATACAACTATGACTGAGATTTACAAGTTAATAAATACAAATTCAGAATGAGATTGGTGCCGTTAGAGCGTAGTTGAATCAGAGGACATTTAGGAGGACGAAGATGTAAGGTTTCCAACTAGAATCAGCTAGGGTAAAAGAAGTTAACGCTTAGGTTTCTTCAGAGTCATGGATTATTATTATTTTTGAAATTATGAATTATCACAGATTCCTAACTTACTGTCATTAGTTCTTAGTACAATTTGATGGAATTTGTGGTGTATTTGAAAGATCTGTTTAAAGAGGATTTATGTCTCAGTTTGCAAGAATTTTTATGACAAGAATGAAAAAAGTCAAGTAACTTTTTGTCAGTCTCAGGGCATCGTCGAAGCGTTGGTACTAGGAGCTGACATGTCAACAGGGACTGAACATTTCCGTTTAATAAAAACCAGTCAACGGTAGATTCAAAATAATATATATATATATATATTATTCCGAATCAGTGTCAGTTAGTACTACATAGCTGTGTTTTCCTAGTTCGGGACTCCTCAGTAATGTGAACCCCTGACTCCATGATGGTTCGAACTCAAAACCTTCTGCCTTACGAGCTATCGGAGTAGAATCGGAGTTGGCTCATTAGCTACCGCCTGAAGTAGATTTCGTCATGAACATAAAGGATTTATGGAGTCACTGGAAATCAAAGGGTACTGGACAAATGTTTCGTTCCAGTGTGCTTCCAAATCCCAACAGGGATCAAACCCAGCGTCTCCAGGTTAGGAAGCTAGATCGTTGACCATTCAGACACTGGCATGCAATCCAGTGGCATATGAATTTCAATTCCTATCATTTTGGGATATTATATAGGCAACCGCCAGCCAGAGTTAAAATCTATTGGTCATTGAATATCAGCTTAAATTACTGAACGGTCAACAAGCTAGTCTCGTAAGTTGTAGATTATGGGTTCGATCCATGATGACTTACTAATTGATGACTGTTTGTGACGAAATCTAAATTAAGATTAATCCAAGTTCCAAAATGCCCATGATCTAAATTAGCTGTCAATGCCTATAATGTGATATGAGATATTAATAGTTGCTCATTGTGAAGTTCTATTTGTTCTAGACTTTTGGCCTGCTGGCACTCATCGATTGCTTCAAGGTAAATCATGTTTGCCCCGACGCATTCAGTAAGCTTTATTGGTGAAGTCTGATTTCGGGAAATAAGTGATATATTCGAATGCTGACTGACATATCAGACCATTTTAAGTTCTTGCTGACTAGAGATTTGCATATTTGCTAAGAATTTCATTTCAGCGACTTCCATACTATTTGATAGCCTTGTGATTAGTTAGATAAACAGATTTAGTTAGTTCATTGCATAGTATCAAGTGATAAAGAACAGTTGTGTACAACTAGTGTATCACGATTTTCTGGGTAGGATATGAGAAAGATCATTGATTCAGTGGCTCCATGGTGAACATGTTCTTATTGCCTTCGTTTTTCCTCGCACTAAACCTTTGTGTTAAATGAAAATCACAACAGGGCTTTTTATCAACCTATATCTACGTTTTTTTTGAGTCTATGTTGTCTGTTGAAAAAGTATATGTGACGATGGTACAGCATGCTAACTGACTACAATTTGTATATTTTTCTTCTATCATCTCACGGTCTAAGTCAAATCGTACTTAGCTTTTAATTCATTTTACATGTTGGCATACAACAAGTGGAAGGTATGCTTTCTGTTATACCCATATGTATTATATGATTAAACAGGAGTCAACAAATCAGTGTTATTTTGAAGGGTGATTTGTGGGTTTTATATAATGATAAGATAAATTTTGAAACTATGTGATCTAATTTTTAGTAGAAAAGCGGTTTTTAACATCAACACGTTGTTTGTCCACAGCCATATTTTTAAAAAATACACGAATTCAATTTCAGGATTATAATCATTGCTTACTTTTTCTGCTTCTAAATTGCTGGTTAACTAGCATCCATTGTTCATGCGCCATAAACTAATCTCCTTTTTCAAAGATTGACTAATTCGAGGAGGCCTGCTTAAAACTTCGGCTACCAAAAAACTTCCATTCCTTTATTGCATGTATTTTCTCTCGTTCGGTTTTTTTAATCGATTAAGATATGACCTCTGTTGGTATTTAAAATGTTTACGAGCTCCTGATTCTCAAGTTCTTACTAAACTTGAGGAATGGCCTGATTATGGGTGGTAACGTGTTCCAATGCATTAAATAACTGTTATTCAGATGTATCTTTGGGTCTCAAATGTACTTTTGAACATCTTACAATCGACTTTCAACCAGATATTGTGGATTTCTTGAAAAAGATAAAGGAGGTATATCATAATGAGAGGGTTTGTGCTTCAGCTCAGAGACCATCGTGTCACAGGATATACTTTCAAATAATATTTTACTTGAAGATACTGTACAAAGGGAAAATATCCAGCAATAAACTCCTCTGAAAATTCTGTACATTTTATAAATACTATCCAGAATAAAGACATTATTATTATTGTCCTTCTGTAACAACAGAAGACAAGGGTCAGGAAACAGATCGTTCATTAAGGAAATCAACACGTATTTATAGATTTTCATGTACATGTTATAGATTATTGTTAGCAGAAAAACATAGTCTTCTGATTGGTTGTTTCTCACAGAAAGTTAACCTTGCATCTCTTTGTGACTGTTTCTTGAATGTCAGATCATCTATATGTTAACTGTATCCACCTACCCAAACCTTTCTTCTCATTTCTCTCACGACCAATATTGGGGACATAAACATTGACACAAATTACTGTCCACCAATTTTGACTAACAGCCAGCTCTCACCACACTTCCATCTATGGAGTTCGATGTATAACAGTGTTCTGATTAGCCCTTCGATTTTAAATTATTGACTTTCTGTGCTTTCATTCACTTGTCTGATATCATGTTAGTCAATAAAGGAAGTGAAGTATTCCAGGCTTGTATATACTACTGATTGATATAAGCAGTAATGATACTTAGGAACCATGCATCCATTAATCCGTTTTTTTTAACTGATTCGGTTATCTGAGATTGGTCGCTCCGGGTGCACCGCTTGCGGTGAGCTTGATGTCAGGCGAGCAATATATATATATATATATATATATATATATATATATATGGTGTTTAGATCACTTCTCTTTGGTTAGGAAACACTACTATTTAACGTGAGTGGTTCCCAACACACACACACATCAGTCAGTAATATACAGTTTGTCTTTTTGGTTTCCGACTGATTCTAGTCTCCTAGTTGATGTCATTAACTCAACACATTGAATGTTTCCTGTCATTAAGGACACATCCCACTTTAATATTCAATCATATCAATACATAAGTAGGTGGTTTTATATTTAATTTATACTCTTAATATGATTAAATTGATTGAGAGGCCAATATGTTCGACTTTGATTTTATACCTTCATTTATCTTTCTGTCTTGCAGGTGTTTGTAGCAAATCATCCTTATGGATATGTATTGCTACATTGACCGGATACCATACACGTACAATTTTCGACTTAAACTGGTGAGTTTCAATTGTCTTCTTGTATTAATCGTGGATTTTCTTTGTAATTAATACATACATAGCGCTAAGTGAAGCAGTTCAGTTTATCAGTATTTTCTTCTCAATTCGCTTTCGAAAACAGTCTAACTGGGGACACAATAAATAGAAGGATGGTTCCAGTAAAAAAGTCACCAATTAAGCCCGAGAATAATTAATAAAGGTTTGAAAAAGTTCCAGAACCATTTTCGATCAGGGGTCAAAAAGTAACAAATAACAAGATGAAGTTACGTAATACAACAAATAGGGATTTAAAAAGAGAAATAAACAGGACAATAAACATGGTTGAATATTAATGATTTTCTTGAGGAAATAGTGCGCATATTATAATCATGACAAAGACGAGGGTTGAACTTCCTTCTTTCGGATACCTGCAGTTAGCTTGAATTTTTCGAATCTTTAGTACTTCAGCTATGCCCAAAGGTTTTGATCTTATTCGCTTCAAGAGGTTAGATTGTATCTTGTATAGGAATTTGAAGGACTTCTAAAATGGAAGTAGGTGTCCTAAGCTGTCAAGCTGAAGGAAAACTTCCATTCCCGCTTTGCTACGTAGCCTGAGTAGTGTATACAAGCGGACACATAGTACTACCAATATACTCAGAAGCGAGTGAACTAATACATGCACGTTTAAGTAGCTTAATAAAACCAAATAGTTTCTTGCAAGAAAACGTCATTCGGAGAACGGTAGCGAGGTATATTTTGCTGAGAGATTTTGAAGGCCGTTTTCAGAAAATTTGTATCTCCCTATCCCTTTTAGATTCAAGATTCGGAGGCGGAAACATTTGGGGACAATCTAGAACTTGTTCATCTGTGTCCTTTAGTTTTAGGTTATAGTCTTTGAATCTGGGGGTGGGAAAACCATTTTTCATCAGGATTCTCTAGACATTGTGACAGTTTTTTGTCAGCGGATTCCTCAATGCATATTTTGGGGATTCTTGATGAAAGTGAGTGAATACATGAGATTCTTCTCTGCTTAAGGGGAGAGAACTGTGTGAGTAGATCTTTTCACTGAGTTATCATTCTCTTTTTAAGGGTCAAACACCAAGGAAATTATATGGTTACTGAAATTCTACTTCTAGAGGGAAGTCGATGTCCGGGTTGGCATTACTGAATGCTTGTAGCAAGTTTTCAAGATTCGAATTCACATGACAAATAATCTAATTGTCGTTGATGTATCTCTTATATAGATGAAGTCCATTGATTGTTGTTAATAAGACCGTGTTTTCTATGCTCGCAATAAAACACAATAAATTAGTGAAAAATCCTACCTAATTTCCGTTCTAAGTGTACATCATAACTATTTTTCAAATCAGCGACGATGCGTGATGGAAACACCCAACCAACAACTACCTAGAGATCTGTGTACTTAGGCGTTATGATCCAATTTAATAAGCATAAGATATTATCAGAACTTGAGGCTTAATGGCTGCATCGGATTATCACATACGATTTTACCTTTTGGTTTCTTCAAAGGTGACCCTAGAGGCCTAGTGGATGATACTCTTTCGCATTGGTTGTTCATTGGTAGAATGCTTGTCAACAATGCACTCCTAAACGTCGTCTGGAGAAGAGAGTTGGCTGGATGTTAGGTTAACATCTTCATTCTGTAAAAACAGCCTCACGGCTATTGAAGCTTCAAGGTCTCAATACCGAAGCCACATGTTTCACTCAAAACTCATGGAGTTTCAAAACAAGTTTCTGCTTAGACTGCTGTTGGTTACCGATAATCATGAAGCCTGAGTCTAAAGCATTCGTTTTTCCACACTTTATTGATGATGACGGTAACGATTGTTTCATTAGTACTCACGACTTAACAGTAGAGTTTTGACTCTGTTAGATGTGTCATTGTGTTTTTCTCTTTCCTTTCTTGTTGTTGTGAAGTTGAATGAACACTAGTCTCTCTCTTCTCTCTTTTTCTTTTATAACAGGTCACCTGATGGACAACTTTTAGCTAGTTGCGGTGCTGATAATAGATTATGTATATATAAAATGCCCCTGAATGGTTTGACTCATAATGCTGGTAAACCATGCTTATCGGAACCACCTCTTCTTTGGGGTCATGTTCCGAATGCACATTCAGAAGATGTAAACTGTGTACGCTGGCAACCTCATTATCATACTGGTGATAATCACCGTAAGGAAGAAGATGCATTAGACTCTCATCTAATGCTTACAACAGCTTCTGATGATGGATGTATTAAGTTTTGGTCTATTAAACACGAGATGTAACTCTGCTTTTTTCTGTACATATCACAAAAATGCAGCCATGTGATTTTTATAATTTGTATGCACAGCTTATTTGACCAACACATCTATTTTGAATTCGAAAATTATGCCTTATCCTAAATTTCAAGTTAGGTTACGGATTAACATCAATTAGAGGACTACTAAAAGCCGAGAAATACTCAACAACTGTTTCGACCTAGCTTAGGACGCACTTGTGACCCTACTGGGGATCGAATCTAGGACCTTGCGGTTACGCTGTCATCCCGATGACCATTCAGTCACTTTGTCGGAACCCAAGGACGAATGAAGAATTCGAAACTAGGACGAAACAGTTTTCCAGTACTTCCTAGTTCTTAGTGTTAATTCGTTATCGTATTTTGAAACTCATCAATTCCCTACAAACCATAACTTGAGAATTTATCAACGATTATTTTCTTTTGTCAGATTTGATTGCTGTAATAAATTTTGTATTTGAGAATAATAATGGGAATGAAGTGTTTAAATATACATCCTGCAATATTGTATTTTACTTGGAGCACTTGAAGATCGGAACAGGCTTCTCATGTACTAAGCCATGAGCAACACACTTATTTTGTGTGAGTACTAATAGTATTACCTAGTTGCCCAGGCTGAAATAGGAGCTGAATTTGAAGTTGGAACCGATTGTCTGTGGGTCAGGTGCTTAAGCCAATGAGGAATACTTGCACTTGAGCAGAAATTCATACTGAGGAAGTCAAGGAATGGTAATGTCATTACTAGGAGAAATTGGAGAATATCGATCCAAGTAATACAAACGCGAAAAGCAGTGCTGTTTTACTTAAAAATGCTATATATTTACGAGACAAATGGAAGTAATAATAATAAAATAAATTATTATTGTCCCCTTGGATTCCGAGTGGAATATAGGGCTTGAACAACACATATCCTCTTTGTTCTATTTTCTACTGTCCTCTTTGGCTGTGCCCACGATTACCCATAATCTCTGATCTCCTCATCACACGATCTCTTCCATGTCACCCTCGGACGACGCACTAGTCGTTTCGTATTCGGGTTCCACTCGAAGGCTTGGCGTGTGATGTCATTCGACGGTCTCTTCAGTGCATGTCCAATCCATCTCCATTTTCTTTTTCATGTTTGTTGAACGAGAGGTTCTTGATTGGTTTGTTGCTATAGTTTTTGTTGCTAATTATTTCTAGCCATTTGATCTGTCAATATAGAGCGAAGGTATAGAACTTTGCACATATGTGCGGCAGTTCAAGTCGCCACACATCCGTCGTTTTTAGTAGACACAGAGTGTAGTGGAAGTGAAGAGCTATCAAACAGAGTAGTTGCATCAGTGGAAGGAAGGCAAGATAGTAGCGATGAAGATGAAGACAAAGATGAGTGAGTATTAGAGAGGTTTCGTGTGCATTTCGGATTTCGGAGCGAAGGCAGCTATTGATAAAAGTTGGTAGCCTGTTGGAAATGCTTTTCGTGATGTGCCAACCATACTAGTTGAATCTAACAAATGAAACAGTAAATAGGAATTGATAAGAATGCGATTAAGATAAACCTTGTAGCTGTAAATAACTTCCTAAAGTTACCAGCTTATGGTTTTCATCTACTCCTAACACTGAGTTTTGACATTCACTGACTAAGCTGAATATATGCAGTCAAATCTCTACTCTGCTTGACACGTTGCTGTGTTACACTGAGTTCCTGCGTGATCTTGTACTAGCTGAGCACACATCACTGCCTAACAATACTGATACCTAAATAACATTTAATATTTTGAACGATTAAATTTGCCTTCTGCTTCCGCTTACTATGGTTAATGTCAAATAAGTACATCTAGGGGTTGGTGGATAATATACGCGTACTCTAGCATTGTATCGTTCTTACTCAACAATACTTAGTCTATCAGAACATGTTAACTCGAAGAAGCTCATTCATTGCTTCGAGAAGCCGCATACATTGTATTTTTCTATATTTTTGCCAGTGTGCTTTCATAATTCTTATCGTTCAGAAATTACTAATCTTCTATCAGAGGGCTAGAAGCTGGAAAACTAAGAATACAATATATTATATTTTCTTTTATGCAGACGAAAATCTGGAAAATTTAACAGAAATATTCATTTTGAAGTTTTTTAAGCCTCCCAGGATTACAGTTAGTATATACTACTTTTCCAATCGTCTATTGTGTTCAAGCCATGTTCATTGTTCAATTGTTTTTAGAGTTATCTGACAAGTGCATATATGGGTTTATAGAAATCCACCAGGTCTAGGTGTGAGGACAAATACTCGCCGATGACATTAGTTAGTTGTGATGCTTACTATAAATCGTGAATTTGCAGAAGTTAGATTTCATAGATCATTGACTTCCATCCTAGTGGCTGAATTGTTAGTGTGATAGGCTCGTAACCTGAAGTTCTGGATTTAATTCCCAGTAGGGTCATGGGTAAATACTGCTGAAGAGTTGCAAACTAAAACGGAACGGAACAGCTGTCCAAAGCTCTGTGGTCTTCAATCGTTCTGTAACTGATGCCATCCAATCTGAAAGCTATCAAATCCCTGCAAACCAGCACTTGAGAATTAAGAGATTTAATGAATTCATGAAATTTGGGCAGAACTACTCAGTCGAATATCCTACATACAGGGTTATATATGCTATGAGAAATACATAAGTAGGAATTTGACTAATAAATAAATCACAATGAAGTAATCCTAGTAAGACAAAAGATAAAAATGTTTTGCAAATTAAGTTCAGATACGTAAAAGGGGTGAAGGTCTGTGAGAAACTGAGTGGATTATAGTTCTTTACATCAATGTAACAAACAATTAGTTTTCGGGGTGAGAACTTGAAAATATTAGGAATTCAGCTGTGATTAGTTATAATGATAGTTAAATTAATTAAGACAAATAAAATCGTTCTGGTAATCATACTAATGAGAAAATACTGGATTTGGGTTCATTCTGTTGTTTGTTGCTTCAACGCTTGACAATATGCGACTGATAACTCAACTACTATTCTCACACAGAAGACTGACTGAGAAGACAAAGATTCATTACTTGAAGGAAAAGGCAATAAGATCATGAATTACAGCCAAATATATACTTCATATGACCATTAAATTACAAGTGTAAGATATGAGAAATATATTCTGACTAGTTAACGTGCATCGACAAGTATCCGATGTCGTGACCTTTAGTCTATGTCAGGGTGGAATGGATAGTTCACAGAACACGTGGGAAATATTCACTCATAACATGTGTTCTTTTGTCTGAGAGAAACACTAGTTAGCAAAGTCAAACATATTATAATGGTTGTCACCACGGTTTCATTTTTTAATAAGAAACGCGGTTCATAAACTCTAGTCGCAGTAACCTCTGTAATCGCAAGTATCTTTCTAACAACAGTGAATAACTTGACAACGACAATACTGTGTCCTTAGTCCAGATGATATTTTGATATCTTGGTTTCGGCGTGTTTCAATCATATATAATATATATATATATATATATAATGTTAGTAGACAGTCGCTGTTCTTTACTACCTACGTATTTACTTCCACAAATATACTCGAAGTGAAGTGTGATGTTTGGTTTTTTCCAGGTTATTGCATCACCTGCTTAGTAGTGTCGACGAATACAAGTTTTGTAGCATAATAGGTTTTTGTCATAACTTTGTCAAGTTTAATTCGTAAAACCAGTCAGATGCTGATGATCACATTCTATCTCAATGTGAGGAATAATCTAGGAGGGAATGCATAGTTAGGGATTCAGAAAGGGAATTTAGTATTGCGTAACAGGTGTAAGGAACAACCTAATTTATCTAAATTTATAAAAGTTAGTGAGAATATGGTAAGCTGTTTAAATAAAAAAAACTGCTTATAAAAAAATATCCAATAAAGTCTTACAGGAGGTCAATAAGGAGTCTGAATAGCTCAGTGGTAACGTCTCTGACTCCCGCTGGCACTGGGTGACGTGGGTTCAAATCCAAGAAGCGATATGAGTTCCCTCAAGGTTGCAGATACGCCTTGCTAACGAGTGCCAACTTGCACGAAACATAGATCTAAGGCTTCTTGTTGATTGCCTCTTTTAATTTTTTTTTATTCCTTCACGTTCCCAGTGGAACATAGGGCTTCAAGCTAGAGGCTCGAAGTTGCGGTAGCAGTGGTGTTTATTTTTACGGGATGAGGTTGCTAGCTTCATGCCCAACCTTCCCTCTTTGCCAGTTCTATCACTTTCTTAGCGAGGTAAAGGAGTGCGTCGGCCGGGGAATAGACCCAGGATCATGTGCATGGTCGGCGAGCGTCCTAACCACTGTGCCACCGACGCACCGATTGCCTCTAACCATCTAATATCACCGATTCAAAGTGCACGTGATGGCGAGTCACCTAGCACCGCGGCCACATCGCAAACTTGACTGATAGAATTTAGTCTGCACCAAACAAAGGACTAGACACATTACGAGTTACTAACTAGTGTTCAATGGAAAAAAGGAAATTATATAAAATCTGTATGAAGAACGCGATGCTGTTAATAAACATTGATAGTTACTAGTAATAAACTAAACACCGAACGATGAGATGAAACAAAATTATGGCAGTTATTTTAGGTGAGTGTATGTATTGCTTTTGAACACAAAAGTCTGGTTTGTGGTCTCTAATTGCCAGTGATGTGGTTACGTATTAACAGCTTATTCGAAGCGAATGTGTGAAAACGAGATCTGTGGATCAATTTGAAGCAGTCGCACATGGGTTTCCGATGCTCGGGGATGGCACTCTTAGTGTTCTTCTTTTCCTCTCTAGTTATATAGGTTGGACAGTGTCTTAAAATACGCTTAAGGACCTGATAGCGTGTATGACAGACATACTTTGTTGCCGTTCTTAACATGTTTTTGGATTAGGTGTTTACCTGAGGATACAATGCTTAAGATGAAATGTTTATTTCAAACACTTAAAGGACGATTTTTGAGGATTCCAACTTCAGTGTCACCTTTAAACCCCACGTTTAGGAAGAAG